ACACACACACACACACACACACACACACACACACACCCGCCCTGGGTCCCACCACGTTTTTGCACTGTCATTTTGACATTTTGACATCTTTCCATCACAGTGCCCACCCCATCCCAACAATCTGGCAAGATGGACCCCATCCTTCTCTCAAATTTCTGATCCAAGTAGGTGTTCTTCCTGGCTTGCTTTCTCAAAGATAAGCAAATCCAGGGCCTCTGGATTTGATGAGTCTTCGTAGCTCACTTGCCAATTCTGGAGCGTGTGATCACCTCCTACCGTTCTCCAGCCATTCTTCCCACCCACACTCCCAGACCATCCATGCCACCCACTACTAAGCTCCCAGCAGCCACGTGGTTAATGAGCATGGAATCACTTATATTTAAGATGTAGCAGGCAAGCACCTGATTTAATGGTTCTCCCCGATACCCTTCTGCACCACCCCCCCCAACACACACCTGCTATAGTAGGACCATGACTTAATCAAAAAGCAATGAATAAAACTTACGATTAGTCAGGACATGGGGGAAATATTTTGGGGGCTCTGAAAATCACACCATGTACAACCAGGTGACCAGCCCTGCGGGTGGGTAAGATAGTACTGTTGTTTCATTCCTCCGGTCATAAAATTCAGTTATGACTGGTCTTGATTGGCTGACCTGTGTAAAGTTCCAGAGCACTCCCTAACCCTGCTCCAAAGAGGGAAAGAACTAAACTGAGAATGTGAGGACAAAGCAGCAGAAGTGAAGACATCACATGGGGTGGACACACTGTACTAGGAAGATGGGGGGATGGGTTGGAAAGGTGTAGGGGAGGTGAGAAGCCCACTGCTGAGGACTAAACCCAGAGACCAACAGGTACAGCCACTTCATAACACGGAGACACCCTGTCAGCCCCTCCTCCCCCAGAGCAGAGCCAGCCAGCACCCGGTAGAGACTCCCATAACCTGCTGTGTGTGGACGACACTCACAGAATGCACACCCCCCCCCACACACACACATCTACAACACACTCTACTCAGTAGCCAATCTGGGTTTTGTGGAACTTGGGATTTATAGGGGTTGGAGAAGGAAAAAAATCCAAATATGTAATTTTTACACATTTAACTGAGATGTATAACCATGTGGCCACATAGTTAGGACCCACCCCTGCAACAGTTGTGGAGACAGCCCCAGCAAGTGAGGGGCCCTGAACCCTCAAGTTCATCAGCCCCATGGGTAAGTCCACACACAGCCCCCAAGGCCAGTAATGGAGGCTCCGTTATATCCAGACACCCAGAAAAGTGCCTGTATCCAGCAGGTGCTCGATAATAGACGCTGAAGAATGAGCTTTGCTTGTTGCCCACCTCAGATAAATATTTTTTATTTCCATACTCTGTTGTGACATTTGCAGCACAGGTATTCCAATCTCACAGGAACATAAAACCCACATCTGGAGGGTGTCCAGTGTACTCAGGAGATGCGGCAACGGGTGTTGGTGGGCAGAGCCTGGGGGCCCTTGGGGGGACCATGTCACCTGCCAGGATTAAAGCGCTTCCTCTGAGGGATGCTGACCCTGCCAGGACACAGGGCAACTGACAGGACTGCGGTGACACCACACAGTAGCCACTTGCTCTAACCCTGTGATATACGGGCCATTCCAAGGCCAGAAGCCCAGGAGAAGAGCTGCCTGGATCAGAGCCAGAGCCACAGACACAGTGACTGCCGCCTGTACCGATGGCTACTGTGTCATTCTGACAAAAAATTAAATGAGATGCCACTGAGACCCTGAAAAACCAAACCACTCACTGCAGAGAAAGCAACTTAAATCTAAAATCAATCCATAAAATAGTATCTAGAAACTCTGTGCCTGGTGCCCATCAGCTGCCAAGTCAACAAAGAGTGTACATAATAAAATTTTAACACACTACTAAAAAGTAATACAGTCACCTACAGTCACTTCTGGTTAGTTTACTAATGAGCCCAAAAGTGGCTTAAAACTAAAAACTATCATCAGTGAGAGATTAAGAATGTAACTTCATCAGGAAGTCAATGTTAAATGAACAGTTCATTAAAAAGTTTTCTGTTAAAAGAAAAAAAGAAGAAAACTTTCCCAAACAGCTACTCCAAGGACAAGAAGCCTGAAAGGCACTAAAAGCATCACCGCACGCTCACTGCCGGCCGCCAAAGAAAGATGCTAAGGAGAAGAGGGTGGAGACCCCCGCCACGGGCTTGGTGGAGCTGGTGTACTGGATGATGTACTCAGGGTAGATCTGGTGCTTCTCGAAGATCACGAAGATGGAGGGGTCGGACATGCTGTTCACGCAGCTGTCATAGAAGACGTTGCCGTGGCCTTCCTTGGCCGGGGGGCGGACGAAGGAGGGGCTGCCTCGGACGAACTCCCCGACCAGCACCCGGGCCAGGAACATCGTGTGGGACTTGGTGTCAGATTTGCTGTAGTGGTGGGAATATGCGGCGTCGCGGGCAAAGTAGCTCCCTGCAAGGACACGGGCGGGCTCAGCTGGTATCGGGGCACAGCCCGCAGCCTGGAAGGGGAGGCTGGGGTGTCCTGTCAACCAGGCAGTGCCGATGGCCTCTGTCCTTCGGTCACCACATGCCCCTGCCTCCTGTCCTCCCTCATGAAGGCCAACAGAGGAGTCTCCAAACTTGGAGACAGAAAGATCAGATTCCGACTCTGTCCCTCAAATCTGAAAGGTCCCTGGGCAAACTACTACTTAACCCCCAGATCTCAGCTTCCTCAGCTCTCAACTGGGCCTGTCACACCAGCCTCACAGGGTTGGTGTGGAAAGGGAACAAGACCCCGCACGGGACACTGGATGCCAGGAGCCCCACGCAGACAATTATGAAGCTGTCAAACAGGAGCCTGCACTGGAGGCCACCACACACACAATCGGAAATACATCTGCCACTGGCTTTCTCTATCCCGACTCCACAGCTGCTGCCACCTCCAAGAACGGCTGATGGACAAGCGATGGGGTCAGAAGAGGGGCTGTTCACTATAGCATCACATTGTGGAGATGCTTCAATCTAGCAGCCATGTCGTGGTCACGTTAAAGATGGCACCATATATGCCACCTACTTGCACATGGGTCAGGATAAAGCCACCGTGGCAAAGTATTAAAGCTGATTAATCTAGGTAGAACTTATGCTGGAGTTTTAAAAATATTATTCTTGGAGCACCTGTGTGGCTAGTCGGTTGAGTGTCCAACTTCAGCTCAGGTCTTGATCTCACAGTTCACGAGTTCAAGCCCCAAATGGGGCTCTGTGGTGACAGCTCAGAGCCTGGAGCCTGCTTCAGATTCTGTCTGTGTCTCCCTCTCTCTCCACCCCTCCCCAACTCATGCTTTGTCTCTTTCTCTCAAAAATAAATTCAAAACATTTTAATAAAAATAAAAAATAAAAATATTATTCTTGAGACTTCCCTGTGAGTTTCGAAATTATTTCCAAATAAAGTTTTAAAATAACCCAGAAAACAGAGAACTCCCATTACAGCTGGCATGACACGCACACAAGCGTATCCAAACTGTTCCGATTCCCATTCTAACGACTGGGGGGCATGGTCTGGGGCCGGACTCAGGGCTGGGAAGGTACCTGCTCTCCTCACCCCACTCTTGCTCACCGTTTCCAGAGCCTCCATTCCACAGGGACACAAAACCCCAGCTGCTCAAACCTAGGGTCAGGCTCCTGACTGCACACAGTAAGAACAAGGGTGCCACCAGCTGGGTCCATTCCTCACTGAGTTTGATCCAGCTCATCAACTCACCCTGGCTCTCCCATGCCCTCCATCAATTTGCTTTAAAATGGCCCCCGGGCCCCAGGGGTGGGGGGGGAGGTAAAGCCAGGTTCTGCCAGTGGGGCCACCTTCGCCCTTACCTTTGCCGTAAGAAGTACCATGAAGACCACAGACCCTCCAGTCAAAGTTCTGCTGGCAGATGGCATCAACGAAACTGGCACTGGTGCCATGGAACAGCTGCCTCTCATCTACCACCTTCCCTCCATTTCTCTTCTGCATCTGCCCTTTTTGCCTACAATTATGGGAGAGGAATGTATGTTGGAGGCAGAGGGTGCTTGTTGCCAAATACAGGCCACTCGACCCAAGAAGACACATTTTGTTATAATCAGCAGGAGTCCAGGCCCGTGAAACCAGCCATGGACCAGGGAAAGAAGGTGAACAGTGGGACTGGAGTGAAAAGGCCTCCAGCGGCTTCTTGAACTCCCAAAGCAGACCAGTCCTTGGAAAGCAGACCTACTTCTTCAGCACCTTGCTTCTGCATGGAGCTCAGCTGGGGGAAGTGGAAGATGCTGGTCAGTGGGGGCCACCCCTTTCCCCCTCTGTGTGCTACCCTGATTTCATCACTGGGCCCCAAATACAGAGGACACTGCTCCAACCCCCTTTCTGGGGACAGGTCAGCAGGATCCCAGGCCTGCCACAGTGACCTGCCGCAGATCTCCTCTCAACAAAGCCAAGTCCCTAGGTGCCCAAGAACATGCTAGTCCTCGGGCACAAAGATGAGACCCCCATTGTGTGGCTGTCAGGACAGCATCTCTCTAACTCCTCAAGGTGTGGGTGGCTTCCATTGACCAGTCCTGCTGACCTTCAGGCAGAGAGGCAAGCACTGGCCTTGTCACTAGGGCAGCTTCAGTCCCCTCGGCATTGAGGGATGTGCCAGCACTGAGCTATAAGGATAGTGTGACGGGGAGGAAAGTGGGGACACAGCTCTGGCTGCCACCTCAGATTGTCCCCAAAACCTAGGACATGTTTGGCAAGCAGCTAGCTACTGTGTATGTATCAGAGGGGACGGTCACCAGCCCACCAAGAGTGAGCCCCCAACGCACCACTGGTAGACTTCCCAGAGGGCCAGATTTTGGACTCGCTCGATCTTCTGAACAAAGTAGAAAGGCAGTGTGCGGTTAAAGAGGTTCCAGACCTTCTGATATTCATCCGATGCAGAACTGAGGGCAATCTTCTGCAGGGAGCAAATATTTTTTTCTCTGTTATCATCAAAGCAGAGGATATACATCAATCCCTTCTCAAGGTTGCTCATAAAACACCAGAACTGCCAACAAGCCCAGATAGTGATCACCACCCTCCCTTTGCCAAGAGGTGTAGTGTCTCCAGGCGTGAGATGTATGCAAGTTGTGGTCACTTCCCTTTTGTCCACTGTGAAACCCTCCTGAAGGACAGGCAGGTGATGCTTACGTCAGCACCACCCTGGTGTCCCCAGGACATCCCTTCTCCTCCTCTGTACCCACACAGGGCAGACTATATAGCCTCCAAGACCAGAACTGGTATCAAAAATGTGGAGTGCACACATCTGGGAGAGAGGGGGGCCAACCCTGTTAAAGCAGGTTCAGGCTTATGGGCAGCAACGCATCAGGAGCTCTCAGGCTGGCAGACAGACGCACATCAACTCAGGAGCACAGTGAGACTTGCAGGGATGGTGCCTGGCTGCTGCGTCCTCCCAGCTGAGTCCACCTCTCCCCTAGTGTCTTGCTCTGAGGAACAGTACTCCCTATGGGCCAGGAGATTCCTAACCAAGGGCAGCTGACACTTACACAGCGACCATCCACAAATTCCCACACCTGAAGCCTGCACCTAACCAGCCTGGCTCTGCGAGGCTTGGCCCAGTGACGGCCCAGTGATAGCCCATTTGGGGACCCGTGAGAAATCCCTCTGTAGCATGCCCTACCCTTACCCTGAGTGCTGTCTGAATGTCCATGGGCTCCTGCAACAGAAATTCTGACTCTGGTTTCCCTGGTCGCACCCCAGGGAGGACACCAAACTCCTCTCCCCTGAGTGTGGAACCAGCCTGCCCCTTCCAGACCAGACTGTCAAGGGCTCCCATACCTGTCACAGCCTGCGACTCAGCCCCACAACCAAGCACTCCACAGCACGGCCCAGATGTCGCTCCTGCTTCCCAACACCTACACACGCCCTCTATCCTGACCCAGGCTCTCTCCCTAAGAAGTTTCCATCGACCTGTATACTCTGCCCCTACCTCTGCCTGTACAAGCACCAGCCATCATTTAGGTGTGGACCCAGTGACATCTTCCCTGCTCCCCTCGGTAGACACCTCGTCCTGCGGTGCTGAGTGCTGCTGTTCAAACTCGCCCAGCCCTTTACACGTGTGTGTGTGTGTGTGTGTGCTGCTGGGGTCTCTGTGCTCTGTCCAACTCAAGAGGAGTCCTCTCAGGGCAGAGAGCTGGTCTGCAGTGCTCTGCAGGAAGCCAGCAGCAGAGGGCAGTCTGAGGGCCACACGTACACAAGGCGGTCGGACAATGGCATGAGCACTCCACAGAACTCAGTGTAGCTCCTGTTCGCTGGCAGGCACTACATGAGCCAGGTGAGTCGCTATTCCTGGTCTTCGAACATCCGGCACCTTTCAACAGCAACTCCCCCTCTCCGCGTCCCTCATCATACTGGTTTTGTTTTCTTGCTTTGTAAAACTAATACGTATTGGCCGAGCAGCCGTTAAGCCCCTTATTTCTGCCCTTCCCAGAAATTTCTAAGTCATCATGCTCCATCCACAACACATCCTCTCCCCTCGGGGCCACAACCACCTTCTTGGTGGTCATCCAGGCTTAAAATCCCCTATACCTGAAAATAACAAAACCCGACAGAACTCTCCCTTCCTGCCCCGGCCTGGCCTCATAGCTTCCTCAGTGGTGGAGTCAGTTCACTCACTAGGTCACAGAACGCCCTCCTCCACGGACCAAAACAGTGCAAGTCCCATACCTTGAAGCCAGGGTCTGGCAGGGCCGAGGGGTCCCAATGGTCTGGGATGCTCTTTGGGCCTTGAAACTTGACACTGCTACAAAATGTAAACAAATATCATTTTGTGAAAGCAGGTAGAAGGTAAGGAAGCACCTAAACACACACTATCCACCATGTGGGAGCACTCTACTTTGCCCATGTGGCCAAAACGCAAATGATAAGGCACAAGGGATCCATTTCTCACCTGTATCCCAACTCTTGTATGAAAGGCAGAGAATAACTGATTAGAGCAGCCTAAACTCTCATCATTTTAACATTCAAAGAGCTCTGCAACTTTTTCCAAGCAGCCTCAATTAGGTGTAACTGGCATACAAAAACATTTTTAAAAACATAAAATCTATGTCAAAACCAATTTGGCAGTAGAAATTTGATTGAAACTGCTAAGAGGCTACTTATGGTCTGTATATACCCTACTTAAATTGACTATGCTTTTTTTTTTTTAATGTTTTCTTGAGAGAGAAAGAGAGAGACAGCACACAAGTAGGGGAGGGCAGAGAGAGAGGGAGAGAGAAAATCCCAAGCAGGTTCCATGCTGTCACAGTGCAGAGCCCGACTTGAGGATCGATCCCACAAACCATGAGATCATGACCTGAGCAGCTATCAAGAGTCAGACACTTAACTGAATGAGTCACCCAGGTGCCCCAACTATGCTTAATTTTTACTGCTGCAATATTAGCAAGTTTAATTACAGGTCTCACATAACACCAGCACCATAGGATCTTCCAAAAAAGATAAAGAAAGATGGAGTTCTAAAAGACACATGGCTCCCCTCACCCCACAGAAAACTTAAAAAAAAAAAAAAAAAAGACACATCACACAAAGGGTCTAGGAACAGGGACTGTGAAGCTATAATTCCAAATTTTTCTGACTCCTTTTCAGAATGGTCTGTTCTTCCTACAAAAGATAATCCTTCTGTTTCCACTGGCATAAGACATGTACCTTCATCCTAAGCCTCAAGGAACTCCCACAAATAACTTTCCTAGGAAAACAGCACAGTTTAAAAATAACTAACCAAGGTCCCATGAGCAAGAATCAGCCAGAAACAGACCATGAAGACCAAAGATGCTGAAATTAGGAGGCAGATTATAAAACAATTATTCTTTCTATGTTTAAAGAAATAAAAGACAAACTTTAAAAACTTTTGTAAGGAGCTAAACTATAAAAAGATGAAGATTTGAAAAAGAATTAGGAGGAACTTCTAAATATGAAAGATACACTCCTTGCTAGAAGTTTGAAGGACAGGCTTATGAGCAGGGGAGACCACCTGAGAAGGGAAGAAAAGAGTGAGCTGAATGAGATGCTAAGTGGTAATTCAGAATGTGGCCCCACAATGAGGAGGTGGAAGATGTGGGGAAGAAGCTGGGACACAGAGAAGAGGGAGAGAGAGAAGGCCAGAATCTGGTTGGAACCTAACCGAACCTCGAAAAAGAGAGGACAGAGGAAAGGATGGAGGCAATCTTAAAGAGAACAAAGGAGACTCGCTGACACATAGGTCTAAGAAGCCCCAAGAATCTCCAACAGGATAATAAAAGCACATGCCCAGCCTCACCAAGGTGACAGTGCACGACAGCAAGACCAACGAAATCTGCAAAGCAGAGGAAAACGAGGGATTCTGGGAAAGAAACTCCAGTTAGACCGACTGCTGATTTCACAAAGACAGCAATGGAAACCAGAGGACAGTGGAGTGACCTCTTCGGCATTCCAGGAGAAAATAACCACACCCCAAAATTCTACAGCCAGTGAAACTATCTTTGAAGATTGAGGGCAAAATAAAGATGTACTCAGGCAAACAAAAACACAGAATTTTCCAACAGACTCATCTAAGATAATTTGAAATTACAAAGTGGTAAAATGTGAGCAAATCTAATGAAACATTCATAGTATAAAATAATAGTACCTCAAAGTTAAAAAACAGAGGAAGATAATGGAATCAGGTATATGAAAGCCCTTATATTAGTTGATACAAGCACAAAGATACAGACTTGACTCATACCTAAGAACACTTATTATAATTTCTAAGGTGGCCAAAAAAAATAGTTATACAATGTATAACTCTTCCAAACTAGAAGGGAAAAAAAACGAAATGACAAAAAATATCCACAAGGAGGCAAGAAAAGATAAAATAAGACCCAATCACATGAATAAACCATTTTTATGGAGGATATAAGGACAGTAAGGAACTAAACCAGATAGCTGATGTATAAATGCCATTTCGAACTTTACGTTAAACTCTTGTATTAGAACTGTGGAATGTGGAGATCATATTCTGTGACCCTGTCATTCACATAAACAGAGAAGTTGTACCTCTTTTTATTTATTTATTTTGAGATTGAGAGATCTCTGAGCATGCATGATCAAGAGGGGGAGGAGCAGAGAAAGACAGAAAGAGAATCCCAAGCAGGCTCCACGCTATGAGCACAGCACCCGATGCAAAGCTCAAACTCATGAACTGTGAGATCATGACCTGAGCTGAAATCAAGAGTCTAACGCTTAACTGACTAAGCCACCCAGGTGCCCCAAGAAGTTGTTTCTGAAAGCGACCTACTCTAATAGTCCCAATCTGCCACAGAGGCCCAAGCAGACTTGCTTTCTAGAGTTACAACATCTGGCTACTGTCACATGGGTGCAGAAAGAGCCACAAACTTCACTGCATGGACACGGACTCTTAGCTTATGCAGCAGAGAGATCCTAAATCGAGTCACATCTCAGTTTGAATTTAACCAAAATGATCACTATTATTTCTGATGTGTGGTGTGTTTGTGGCCCCATGAAAACAACATCACAGTGACAATAAAAGACATCCAGTCTCAGAAAGGAGACAGATTTTTTCCAAACCGTATCTAAGGTAGTCTCTGGATAGGAAAAGAATCAAAAATAAACTTTCAGAAGTAGAAGCAGCCACAGTTAACTGAACTCTAAATCCAGAAGCAATACACAGAAGACATGGGTAAATTTCACTAAGAAATAAAAAATAAACATTTCTGCACGGTAAAATATTTCATAAACAAAGCTGGCAAATAACAAACCAAGAAAAAAGGTTTGCCACTTGTATAAGAAACTGAGTGATGGGGCACCTGGGTGGCCCAGTCAGGTAGGCGTCTGACTTCAGCTCATGTCGTATCTCACTGCTCCTGAGTTTTTGAGTCCCGCATCAGGCTCTGTGCTGACAGCTCAAAGCTCGGAGCCTGAAGCCTGCTTTGGATTCTGTCTCTATCTTTCCGCCCCTCCCTGACTCATATTCTCTCCCTCTCTCAAATATAAATATTTTTAAAAATTTAAAAGAAGAAACCGAGTGAGCTCTCCAAAAGATAAAAGGCTCTTAATATTTACGAAATATACCAAAAGTCTGACAGAAAATTGGACAAAAAGACAAACCATCCACAGAAAAAGGCAAATGGCTGTTACAGGCTAGGAAAAAATATTAAACCTCACTCATAAGAGAAAGCAAATTAAAATACACTGATATACCCTTTGCCACCCACGAGAACAGCAAAAGTCCAAGAGCTTGATGTGAGGCAAACAGGCACCTCAAGCATCCTGGGGCAAGTGCATAATGGTCCAACCCCATCAAGAGAAACCTGCATTTACCTTCTAGGGCTTTAACCTCCATGAATATGAAACAGCACATACACCAGATCATCCATTGTGCCGTTACACTTGTGACAGTAAAAAATCTAAAACAATGCAAAATAAACCTCTAAAAGGAACAGATTAGGGGCGCCTGGGTGGCGCAGTCGGTTAAGCGTCCGACTTCAGCCAGGTCACGATCTCGCGGTCCGTGAGTTCGAGCCCCGCGTCAGGCTCTGGGCTGATGGCTCAGAGCCTGGAGCCTGTTTCCGATTCTGTGTCTCCCTCTCTCTCTGCCCTCCCCCATTCATGCTCTGTCTCTCTCTGTCCCAAAAATAAATAAACGTTGAAAAAAAAATTTTTTAAATAAAAAAATAAAAGGAACAGGTTAAATAAACGAGGGTATATACAGGTGATGGAGAGCCACGAAGACAACAGATTTCAGAAGACTTTAACGTCTTCTGACGTTGAAAGGAAATAATTATTTTTAAGTGGAAAAGAAAAGGTACAGAACAAATAATACATTTAGAATGTTACCCTTAGCACAAGAAAAACCAGAAAATACTGTATATGCATTTGTTTATTTTTGCAAAAAAAAAAAAAAGATAATAAAGATAAACCAAAAACTTATACAAACAGGTCCTCATTACAGAAACACTGGAGATAACAGCAGGCAGGATACGGACCACTGAGTGTAACTTTTGCTTGAATTGCTAATACCATTCCCCTCTATCCTGTATCAAACTCTCCTCTAAATGACCATGCTCCACAAATACAACCACTGAAGTCCATCCTGTGAGACCTAGAAGAGCCAACAGAGAAACTACCAGTTCTCCATGAAACGGCTAACAACACTGGCTGAAGTCTCAGCTTAAGCCGTGACACACCCGAATGTAACTGGTACTATAGTATCTCTTGCCAGCCAGGCTCCTCTCCCCCATCATGTGGCTGCGTGGATCGGAGAGAAAGGACCCCTTCCCCAGCTCCAATCCTGGCACATCTGCACCAAGCATAAAACTAGTGGTTCAGAGGAAGTCTGATCAGAGCAAAGCTCATAAATATACCCCCATCAGCCGCAGAAGGGCCTTCTCCTGCTCTGAGATGCTTACAAGGCAGGGCGCTACCCTAATGGCTTCTGGCAGCTGTAAGGGAACCCACTCTGAGGATGAAGCTGGCCTGTTAGTGCCTTCAGGATCCGTTTTTGGTTTTTTGGTATCCCATGAGATTCAAGTCCTGAAATACATGGATTTTTATTGATCTAATTCCATTAGTTTTCTATTACTTTAACATTTTAAAATACTCAAGTTTAGAATTCAACTAGTCAACTGAAAATAAAACCTGATGAGCCAGGTTCGAGTCTAGACTGCTCACAACTAACAGCCTTATAATTGTGTACCACCAATCTCCTACCTACAAAGATAATTCTCTGGTTCAAAACATTTCCCAAGTAGTGGAATATGGATGCCAGGAGTCAAATTGCTACAGGTGACTTGGCATCAGAACTGCCATTCATTCATGATGCAAATGGAGAACAAAGAGCAATGTGCTTTTATCACAAGCAAAAACCATAGCTCACTATCAATAAAAAACTCTAGGACTAAAGACAAAAAACCCAAAGAGCTACTGAAAAGATCCCTTCCAAGTTATAACAAAAGAAAGTTACATGAAGATAGAAACAGAGAGAAAATATTAGGAGTGATATTATTACTATTTATTAACCATTCTCTCAAATCAGTCTAAAGTCAAGAACTTTTTTGGTTTCTGGAAAAATCTGCACAAGAGTACCTTTATGACTCAGTAACATTACTGGCACACTTAAAACATATGTTGTGTTTGCTTTGTCACTTTAATGCTTTATTAAAAATTAATTGATCTGGGTGGCTCAGTTGGTTAAGCGTTGATTTCAGCTCAGGTCGTGATCTCACTGTTTTGTGAGTTTGAGCCCTGCATCAGGCTCTGTGCTGACGACTCAGAGCCTGAAGCCTGCCTCGGATTCTGGGTCTCCTTCTCTCTCTGCCCCTCCCCTGCTCATGCTCTCTCGCTCTCTCTCTCAAAAATAAACATTAAAAATAAATAAAAGTTAATCTGGTAATTAGTATAATACTCTAACGTTCACCTCTCTATAAACCTGCATTATGTTTTATACTCTTGTAATACATGCTAATACTTCTCTATCTGAAATGTGCTAGGTGTACCCTGATTTTTCAGATTCATGAACTCTCAGACCTTTTATAGAACACTGATATTAATACCAGCACTCTGGCATTCAGTGAAGGAAAGTTCAAAGGCACGTGGAGGAGGGGCGCCTGGGTGGCTCAGTCGGTTAAGCATCCGACTTCGGCTCAGGTCATGATCTCACGGTCCAGGAGTTCTAGCCCTGTGTCGGGCTCTGTGCTGACAGCTCAGAGCCTGGAGCCTGTTTCAGATTCTGTCTCCCTCTCTCTGACCCACCCCCATTCATGCTCTGTCTCTCTCGGTCTCAAAATAAACAAACATTAAAAAAAATTTTTTTTTAAGAAAAAAGGTACTTGGAGGAGAGCTAGGCAGAGACGGGAGTGTGGGCGCTTTCGGTTATGGAAGCCAACAACCCTCTCACTGCACTGGCTGGTCTGAGTAGGTTTTCTGTACAGGCAGCACAGCGCACCCCAACTGACACACATGCCACCTACCAGGTTTGCTTCACCTTCACCTCCTGGGGAGACACGTATTTGGGTCTCCGGCAAACCCTTCTGACCGTGCCATAGACCAGGTTTTTCTGAACAAAGGCTGAAAAAAAAAAACACCAAATGTATATACGCACACAGGACAGCAAGGTTTTATAAACACAACTAAATGGGCTGGAAAACTAATCCAAATGTGTAGTATAGGATCAGTCTGCTAAGAAATAAAGCAATTTTCACATTTCAAATATCCATAAAGAAAATAGGTATCCTTAGGAGACTGGGTTTAATGAACACACGAACGATGAGTAATTGACATAACAATTATACATGAGTACTTTTAAATTGTTCCTTCCAATCTTGTTTAAACTATTATTTTGCTTAGCAGTTTTTCCCAGCTTGGATATAAAAAAGCTTCAGCCCAGCCTGAGACTAAATTACTACATCTTAAGTCAGTGGGATTTAGTTAATATAATAATTTTACTCTTATGACTTTTTTTCTTAATTTGACTAAACTGATTCCATAGCAGTATTAAACCTTTTAAACCTGTACCATCTTTAATAAACAAAATTCTTGCCCCATGCCCACCCCAAAACCCTCAGGGTAATCCTGAGGGTTGGCGGCGGGCAGGGGTGGGGGAGGACGACACTGACCCTCAAGTTGAAAAATCACAAATGCCTATGAGCTAGATTCCATGTCCTTACCCACCAGGAAAACCCTGTCAAGTCTTACTTTCTGAACCTGGAGTACAAAAACAACTTTTTTTCATTTAAAAAACACTTAATACTAACTTGTAGATGTCTGTAACTTACATTACAGCATTTGAACCTATGCTGCGTTATCACCTAGATGTGTGTCCCTCATGCTGTAGCCCAGGAGGTCGTCAAGAGCAGGCACTCCTTGGGGGTCCCCCACATTCTAATCAAGAACCCATAATCCAGACATGGCTGACACTGCCCCCATTGTTGTCCACCACTCAACTCCCCATCAATAATTAGCACACTTACATGGGTTTTTATTGGCCTGTTGACTGACATCATGATAAATCTGAAATGGGCTTTCACTAGTGAAATGATTCAAGATATGTGGACTGGCTAAATATATGTCAGACCCACTCCCAACCCTCCCGTGGACAGGGAAAAATAAGACATTTTCTCTAATTTACGTTACCAGGGATACATAGGCTGAGTCCCTACACAAGCCTGACCTTTGGGATTCTACCCATCTGTTGCCAGCTAACAGTTGTCAGAATTCTGCCTCTGGAATCTTGGCCCTGGTAGTGGCCTTGAGCAGCACTTATAACAAGAGTCCCTAAAATGACAATACTGAGTCTTCCCCCACCACCTCCCTGAGGCTTCCTCCTCCTCCCTCAATCCTACAGTACAAATCATTTCACCTATTGTGTGTGTTTCTTAAATGTACTTGTTTCCTAATAATACTTAGTTCATAAATGTGTCTGGCAGATTTGGGTCCGAGACTTGCTTTCACTACACCTCTCAGTGAGGCAGTGAGACGGGAAGCTAACTCATCTCAAACTACTTCTGTGGCTGCTGTTCTCCACCATCAACAAAAGTAATTCTCCTTACTCACATGAGCCTGGGTCAGTCTGGGGTGAACTCGCTTCTTCCTGCAGTTTGCAGAAAACTGCATTCGTGTGCTCTTTCCCACCCTTACCCTGATTTTCTGTTACGTCCCCTGGGGCTGTGGCCCAGCGTGAGAATGATCAAGGTTGCATCTGACATTTCTGGTTTTGATATTTTCCAGATACTTAAGAACAGTTGCCAGCAGCAGTCAGATGGGTGCTAGCCGTATAGATCTGATCCTCATGGAGTTCGCTGTCCCCTTTAGTGTATTTGTACCTATCAGACCGTGGACTGCAAACCACCTGATGTACGGCTGGTGTTCTCCAGCAGAGACTGAAGGCTGGTAAGCAGTTCTCATCGCAGAGCAGAAGAAACTTTTAAGTTCTCTGTAAGGGCAAGTCGAGGGGGCAGCGATTCTACCTTAAACAAGAGGATAAGCCCCACAACCACAAGAAAAACAACTGGCTAACAGCAGGCAGGTAAAGTGATTTTAGGATAATTTACCAGACACACTTTGCTGCCCTTTATCCAGAAGAATAGAGAAAACAGTAAACCATATTTAAATGAAGGCCCAGTTATTCCCCTTAAAAGGACTGAACATTCAGAAGGATTCAGAGTTTAAAATGTGAGTAATGCAAGGGGTGCCTGGGTGTCTCAGTCAGTTAAGCACAGGGCATGATCTCACGGTCTGTGGGCTGGAGCCCCATGTCAGGCTCCCTGCTGACAGTGCAGAGCCTGCCTCAGATTCTGTCCTCTTTCTCCGCCTCTCCCCAGCTTGCACTCTCTCCCTCTCAAAAATAAACATTAAAAAAAAACAAATGTTGGGGCACTTGAGTGGCTCAGTCAGTTAAGCATCTGACTGCGGCTCAGGTCAAGATCCCACAGTTTGTGGGTTCGAGCCCCGCATCGGGCTCTGTGCTGACAGCTCAGAGCCTGAGCCTGCTTTGGAGTCTGTGTCTCCCTCTCTGTCTGCCCCTCCCCCACTCGCACTCTGTTTCTCTCTCAAAAATAAATAAAACATTTAAAAAATAAATAAAAAATTGGGGCGCCTGGGTGGCGCAGTCGGTTAAGCGTCCGACTTCAGCCAGGTCACGATCTCGCGGTCCGTGAGTTCGAGCCCCGCGTCAGGCTCTGGGCTGATGGCTCGGAGCCTGGAGCCTGTTTCCGATTCTGTGTCTCCCTCTCTCTCTGCCCCTCCCCTGTTCATGCTCTGTCTCTCTCTGTCCCAAAAATAAATAAATGTTGAAAAAAAAAAAATTTAAAAAAAAAATAAATAAATAAAAATAAATAAATAAATAAAAAATAAACAAATGTAAGGCAAAACTGAGTTTAACACAGCTGGACTAATAAATCCAAGAGAAAATGTCTTCAGAGAAGCTACAGAAAAAAACTAAAATTTAAACAAAAGAATTCTCCAAAATCAGTCACTACATGAACTGGCCAAAGAGTATCTGGCCTGTTTCTGTCTGTCTGCAAAGGCAACCAGGACAAGTCACTTAAAGCCCAGTGTCAGAACATCTGGAGCACAGGATAATCTGCTTCCCAGCAACTTTTAATGAAAGTGTGCATCTAGCATGTGTTTAATCTGCAGCCCACCTAAGCCACAGGTGCCTACGGAGACAACGACATGGAGCTGCCATTCGAGGGAGGACACAGCAGAACTGCTATGACAGGAATCAGGGACTCAAGTTAACCCTTAGATCAGAGGGACTCGTCGTCCATGGCCTACAGGCCCACCACCACGGCACGCATGCAGACCACCCCCATCCCTCCACACTTCGGGCCCCTGTCTCCATCTCGGGGTCCTCTCTCACCACCCCCTCCCCAGGCAACTTCTCTTCCATCCCACTGGGTTGGCATCATCTGTTTACAGATCTGTCTCCCATTCCAGATGTGCAGCACTTCTGGAGCAGGGACCACCCTTACCACCCTTTCCTTTTCTCTCCTGCCCCTCAGTGTGCACATGGACCTTTTCCAGGGTGCAGGTGGAGAAGGCAGAGCCAAAAGATGGCCAAGCCCTGCTGGGTGGGGGCAGCGGGTCAGGAAGTACCTTTGAAATCTAACTCATATTTGTGCTTTCCAGCCTGGAACTTCAGAATGGCTGCCTGGGCATCAGACCCAGGTGCACAGTACGCCAGGTAGGCCTTCTCCAAATCGCTGCTGCAGACGGTGGTCACGGGGTGCTCCATGCCCTACAAGGGAAAAGCCAGACGCCTGGTGAAGCCAAGAACCTACAATGATGAGGAAAGCTGCCGGGTGCTACCCACACCACACTGCAGGCATGACCATGGTGCATATTCGTGTCATGCGGGAGGCAGGGGAGCCGGAAGAGAAGAGCCAGGGAGTAGGGGTGCGGCAGGAGAGGAAGGCACAGAATAGAAGCCAGCACGAATGCCTCCAAAAGCTGCCCAGAAAATGAAAGGGAGTAAATGCAGATCCTGGCTAACCATACCAAGATAACCAGGATGGCAGCAAAATAAGACACAGCATTCACTCCTAACGGATGACACCTCCATTCAAGGGAAGGTGAACACCAACGCTGAATTCTCCAATCCGCATGAAGGGATGGCCTGAGCATGGCTGCCTCTTCTCTGCCCATTCTTGTACCCACCACCCTGCAGTCAGAGCTTAGTCTTCCTGTTTTCTTTTTCTGGGCCCTTGGAGAAGCTCTTCTGCTTTCAATCATCCATTTTGATCCCACAACTTCTATCCAACTACCTCCAAGCTATCTAAAATTTGGGGATGGACCAAGCTTGAATTTTGGCTCCTTCATAACTGTGACAAGTTATTTTAACCTCTCTCAACCTCCACTATCTCAACAGAACAGGAAGAAAACTTAAATCATACTCCTATCATGATTCCACAGTGCCATCCCATCCTCAAAGGACTAGGAAAATAATTAAAATAAGGCCTGCAAAGCACTTAGCACAGTGCCTGGAACAAAAAGTAAAGGTGCCACAGAAATATTAGGAGTATATCTAGATACATCAGTCTCAAGTTCAAAGAATCTGGTCTGCAGACAGACGTGGAGAGACCACTTAAGGTAGCCACTAATGTCAGAAGAATGGAGGTGTGGGCCGGACCCTGGGACACCCCAACATTCATGAAGGAGGGTGGAAAGAAGAAGCCCATGAAGGAGACTGAGGAGGAATGAGACAGGAGGGTGAGGAGGGAGCGGGCAAAGGCTGCAAATGCCACAAGATTTGGCACCTGGGCCCATGGCCGTTTGCCAGCTTCTATGGCACAGTAAGGGCTGTGTCTGGCAAGGTCCCACATCCTGCCAGCGCTCCATGAAAAGTGGCTAGATGAACACGTAACAGGAACACAAGTTAGATCCTGGAAAATGAAGGAATGAACAGGGGTCTTTACTTCCATGTAGAGATGAATGGGTTGTTCAGGCCCAAAAGGGTGAGAGCAGCTGTAGAGGTTTTAGATCAAGGCAAAGCAGATCACAGGAAAGGGTGCTAACTCAAAAGGTCTATCAACATGAGCAGCTTGTTGAGAATGATCCAAAAAGGATACAGGTCAGGGTAAAGCATCCTGGAGCCCAACACCTCAGGGACATTGAGTTTAACGCAGGAAAATTCAGTGGGCCTGGATAGTAACACCTTTATCCACAAGATTAGGTTATGGATTGCACTATGCCACCTCCTTTGCTGTAAAAGATATGCTGAAGTCTTAACTCTAGTACCTCAAAACTTGACTTTATTTGGAAACAGAGTCACTGCAGATGTAGTTAGTTAAGATGAGATCATACTGGAGTAGGGTGGGCCCCTAATCCACATAACCTATGTCCTTATAAGAGAACGGCCACATGATGACAAAGCAGAGACTAGACTGAAGAACCTACAGACCAGGGAAGCCGCCAGAAGCTAGGAGGAGGCAAGTATGACTCCCTACAAGCTTTAAAGGGAACATGGCCCTGCTGACACCTTGATTTCGATTTCCAGCATCCAGCTGTGACACAGTAAGTCACTGCTGTTCTAAGCCACCCAGCTTGTGGTACTTTGTTATGGAAGCCTTAGGAAATTAATATAGGGTGGAGGTAATTTGGACTGAAATTTGGCTGTACCTCCTGAGCTTGGGAAGAAAAGAACCTAGCTTTCTGAATCAAAAGAAAATGGTCCTAAACTGCCAATTAGCAGAAAACTAAGAAAGAAATCCAAATACAGGATGACACCAGAAGTGTACGGGAAAGAAGAGCTGGAGTTGACAGGTCACCCTATGAGGCGATTCAGCCAACGGTACCAAATGAGACCGCACAACCAATAACCACTGAATTCACACATGTGCATCTGCGCCCCACCATCACGTAGCACATCTATGATACCCAAATACAGGTAATTCCCAGAGATTCTCAATGTTCTAAGTGAAGTTATACACTCTGACTATACAGAGTAAATGAAGAGCAGCATAGAGAAAAAAAAGGTAAAGCCCTGAGTGTGGGTTGTTTGGAGGAAGAAGGCCCCCACTTCCTAAAGTTGTGATAATGCAGTTTGCCAAGTCACCTAGGGAATCCCACTTTTTCATGGGATGCCCTTAGGGTCTCATGTCATCTCATTCAGCTCCCTGAGAAGGGGGACACACCACAAAACAAAAACCTGAGAGGTAGTCACATTTGCTAAGTGCTTTTCACCTGCCATGAGTTCCTTCATCAGGTCACCAGAGAAGTTCCATTCATGGAACATAACCAGCCCCTCATTCTATCCCCCTCCTCGATACCAGGCATGGCCTCTCCCCTCCTGCTCCCGACCAAACTGAGAGCAATGTTGGGGAGCCTCCCTGAACATATCTGCATGGCAAGGAAGGAGAGGGAGATGGGTGGGAAAGAGGGCAGACAGAATAGCCAATGAGGAAAGGCTGGCACTGCAAGAAATGGAGAAGTGTATGAGGGCTAAAGCAAGGCCACTGCTGAGAGTGACCATGTCCAACTCAGCAGTGGCCGTGGGGCAGCAACTACTCTGTCCTTCAACCCACCGACATCTATGACCTGAGAACTTGCAGGGTACAGGCAGAGTCTTCCACACAGGGCACATGTGTGGCAAAAGAGAGACAGAACTCCCTGCTCTCATGGAGCTCTCATTACAGGGTTCCCAGAGAAAAAGATATCCTAGGTGTAAGCCAAAATAAGAAACTAAAGCTTTAATACAGCCTTATAAAACACAGAAGAGTACAAATGTCTATCAGACCACATATCCCAATTTTCATTTCGGAAAGCTGTTCCTATAGAAATGGTGACCTCCCTATACTTGTACCTCTACAGGTGCCCAGAGGGTTCCCTTTAATGTGATCCAGACATGAACATCTTCAAATAATTGACAGCAACAGTTATCAGATCCAGATTCCAAACCAATACCTGAAATAAATCAATTTTCTTACACTTGCCCACGTTCTATGAAGTTGCTGCTACAGAGAAGTCAGAAGCTAGTTTCAAAGGGCCTTAAAGTTTATTCTGCAGCTACACAAGTCTCCTATACACACAGACACTTGCTTTGGAGCTATCTGTTCAACAGTTAAGGGAGGCATCTTTCTATCCCATGTAACAAAACCAATGAAGAAATGTCCTCTCGCTATAATTTACACTAGGCCATGTTCTCATGAGGCCAACAGATACCTAATCATACAGAAGAACTCCCAACTACCTAGTTTTATCATAATTCTCCCCAAGCAAGTGAGTCACGGGAGGATTTGGGGCTCTTTGTCTCTATCAAGGACTCCCCAGAACAATCCTCGTGCTCATGTCTGAAATGGCTCCTCCATCGGGGGCCCTCAGGAGAAAACACCTGTCCTCTTTCCATGACACTTACTTGTCTTCCATACTCCTGCCAAGAACCAAACTCATCAGTCCAGTACCAAACCCAGTCAGTGGTGAGGATGAAGTGTGGAGGTTTAGTAACCGAGGAGGCTGTGGAGAGGCGGCGGGCTGGGGCAGCACCAAACATCATGGAGTCAAAGTCTAGACAATCAAAGTGAAAGTTGCTGGCTGACTCAGCACAGAGGATCCTGCAAAGGAAGTGAGAGGTAAACTGAAAATTCCACCAGTCAAGCGAACACTCAGGTGCTACCTGTGGTCTTCTAGATGCTCAGCTGGTAGACGTGAACATCAATGTGACACGTACCTCAGGGGGAAAAAATGTTTCCAAGTGGGGGGAGGGGAGTACAAGTTGGTTCTTATAAAAAAAATTTTTAATTAAATCAATAAATCTCTGCAAGATTGATAAGAAAAATAGGAGGATATTGGAAATATAAAAGGTAAAAATTAAAAATGTCATAGACACTAAAAGAGGTATTATAAGCAAGTGTATGACAATTAGTTTAGCAATAAATAAAATGAACAAACTCCTGGAAAAATCATTAAGTTTACCAAAATTGACTCAAGAAAAATAGAAAACCTGACTGGTTAGCAGTTTAAAATCTTCCCACAAATTAAACATTAGGCCCAGATACTCTTATAGACACATGGTCATTCAGGAAAAAAATTATTCTAACTTTACATAAATTTTTTCAGAAAACAGAAAAGATAACCATCCCAATCTCATCTTCATGAGGGTAGACACTTAAGATAACAACCAGATCAAGACAATATGAAAAAATTATAGACCAATCTTACTCAAATATGAATGCAAATATCTTAAGTACTGGCCATCCAAATTCAGCATTGTGTGTGAGTTGAGTATGTGTGTGTCTGTGGGGGCAGGGGAGGGGAGAGAGAGAGGAAGAGAGAAGAGAGAGGGAGAGAGAGGGAGTGGGAGAGAAAGGGACAGAGGGGGTAGAGGGGGGAACAAAAAGGATGAAATTAAAATGCTATTCACAAATATTAATGTCTAGATAGATATCTAGAATATATAGATAACTATACAGATAATTCAAACATTACCAAGAGAGTCCTCTGAGTTCAGATACCTTAGTAAAGTTGCAGACACAACAGCTGACAAAAGTCAATTGCATTTCTATACATCAGCACAGAGAAAAATTTTTTTTTTTACTGGGGATGTAACATATAACATGACGACTACAGTTAATGCTATACGGTACATTTAAAAGTTGGTAGGAGAATAAACTCAAAGTTCTCATTGTAAGGAAAAAAATTGCTTAGTAACTATATGAAGTGATGGATGTTAACTTATCCAGATAACCATTTTGCAATATACACATATGTCAAGTCATTATGCCGCACACCTTAAACTTCTAGTGTTGAAAGTCAATTGCATCTCAGCACAACTGGAAAAAAAAATTAAATCTCTAACAAATGATATCCAAGACCCTAATAGAGAAGTTATAAAAACCACTGAAAGATATTTTAAAAGATTTAAATAATCACATGCTATCATTTATATGAATAGAAAAATCTCAGCATCATTATGGTGTCAGTTCCCCAGAAACGCCAAGTCAATGCAATATTAATTTCAAAAATCCCAACAGAGATTTTTGTGAAAACCAATGACATTTAAAAGTTTCTAGGGGGGGCGCCTGGGTGGCGCAGTCGGTTAAGCGTCCGACTTCAGCCAGGTCACGATCTCGCGGTCCGTGAGTTCAAGCCCCGTGTCAGGCTCTGGGCTGATGGCTCAGAGCCTGGAGCCTGTTTCTGATTCTGTGTCTTCCTCTCTCTCTGCCCCTCCCCCGTTCATGCTCTGTCTCTCTCTGTCCCAAAAATAAATAAACGTTGAAAAAAAAATTAAAAAAAAAAAAAGTTTCTAGGGGCGCCTGGGTGGCTCAGACAGTTAAGCATCCGACTTCCGCTCAGGTCAAGATCTCACGGTTTTTGAGCTCGAGCTCCGCGCTGGGCTGTGTGCGGACAACTCAGAGCCTGGACCCTGCTTCGGATTCTGTGTCTCCTCTCTCTGCCCTTTCCCAATTGTTCTCTGTCTCTCAAAAATAAATAAATGTAAAAAAACTTTTTTTTAATTTCTGAAGAGGAGCAAAAGACCAAGAGCCCTGGCAATTCAAAGAAAGAGAAGACAGGGATTTGCCTTACCAAATGCCAACACTTAAAGCTCCACTAGGTCAAGACAGTGTGGCACTGAAGCAGAGACAGACCGACCAGTGAACGACAAGAGAGGACCAGTGGGTGTATTCACTGATCCAGTGCCTGACACAGGTGGCACTTAGAAACAGGTGCAGAGCTGGCCTACTTAAACAAGTGATATTTGGCAGACCAGCCCGAAAATAAGCTATAAAATGTGTTAACACTGCCAAATTGGGCTCAGTTTTGATGGGTTTAAAAATAACTGCTAGAAATGGATGATGGGAATGGCTGTACAACAATGTGAATGCAACGCATGCCACTGAACCTACACTTAAAAATGGTTAAGATGGGGCACCTGGGTGGCTCAGTCAGTTGAGTGTTTTACTCTTGGTTTTAGCTCAGGTCATGACCCTGGGGTCACGGGATACGGCCCCGTGCCGGGCTCTGCACTACGTGTGGAGCCTACTTAGGATTCTCTCTTTCCCTCTCCCCACTTCTCTCTCAAAAATAAGAATAAAAATAATGAGAATAAGAAAAATAAAAAATAAATAAAAATAAAGGGGTGCGTGGGTGGCTCAGTTGGTTACGCATCTGACTTTGGCTCTGGTCGTGGTCTCAAGGTTTGTGAGACTGAGCCCCGCATTGGGCTCTGCGCTGAAGGTGTGAAGCCTGCTTAAGATTCTCTCTCTCAAGACAGATACCATATGGTTTCACTCTTATGTGGATCCTGAGAAACTTAACAGGAACCCATGGGGGAGGGGAAGGAAAAAAAAGAGGTTAGAGTGGGAGAGAGCCAAAGCATAAGAGACTGTTGAGAACTGAGAGCAAACTGAGGGTTGATGGGGGGTGGGAGGGAGGAGAGGGTGGGTGATGGGTAATGAGGAGGGCACCTTTTGGGATGAGCACTGGGTGTTGTATGGAAACCAATTTGACAATAAATTTCATATATTAAAAAAAAAAAAAAAAAAAAGATTCTCTCTCTCTCTCTGCCCCTCCCGTGTTCTTTAAATAAATAAATAACATAACATAACATAAATAAAAATAAATGGTTAAGATGGCAAATTTTATGTTACGTATATATTACCACAATTTTATATTTTTTTAATTAAATATATTTTTAAAAAGTAGTTTTGCCAAAACCGGTGATTCATCTGCGTAAGAATGAAACTGTACCCATATTTCACCACCTGCAGGGTAAAGATTAAACAGTCCTTAAAACGTTAAGATTTTTTAAAGAAAATTCAGAAAAATTTCCTTACAGTCCTGGGATAGGTAAAGATTTCTTATGACTCAAAAAGTAAAAGCCGTAAAGGAAAAGACGGATAAATACTTATCTATATTAAAATATACCATAAGCTGACAGGAAGAGTTTATCTTCAACGCACATTTAATATCCAGAAATTTAAAGAATTCCTAAAACTAAATAAATAACTGAACACACAACCTTCCCCTTCAACAAAACAGCCAAACTACAAGAACAGACATTTCACAGCAGAGGAAGCTCAAGTGGCCAAGAAACAGGTGAAGAGACACATTACCTCATTAGGACCCAGAGACCTGCAAACGCAGATGCCACGTGTGCCACTTAAAATCCCCAGGCTGCGAAACGTTCAGATGCAAACAATACCAAACGCTGGGGACACGGTCACCACAGACCGAACGGGTGTGGAAAGTGGCACGACCATTTAGCGCCACTGGGCAGAGCTGAAGAGGGAGCCAGCCTACCTCCCAGAACTCTCATCCCCAAACATCAGGCCTACAGAAGCCCGCTCGCACGCGCACCAGGAGACAAGCAGAGACTCAAGCACAAAGCACTGAGAGAAAGACACCAGACGTGGTGGTAGAGCATATGCTCCATTCAGACAGGGTTCAAGAACAGGCAAGACTAACCTGTGGTGACAGATGTCCAAACAATGGTGGCCTGGGGGTGGGCACGGATGGGAAGGGGACAGGAGGGGACTTTCTACGGTGATGAAAATGATCTCTATTTGGATGAGAGTGTTACATGAGCGCATGCATTCATCAAGACTCACTGAACTACACGATTAATATCTGTGCACTTCCCTATGTGTAAATTCTGCCTCAGAAAAACAGAGAGAGAGGAAGAGTCAGCCAATGCATCTTCCCAAGGGGAACCATTTGTTCCACATACTTCCCCAGCAGCAATTTGCACACAATTGCACTCTTAGCACAAATTTATTTTTTCCACCTTAAAAAGAGTGGGCTTAAATTCTTTTCATGGCAACATATTTTAGCAAATTCAATCCAAGATATGGTGAAGTATTTGAAAATAAGGCTCCCCGGACTTCCCCATTCTGAATCAACTAAGTGAAAATACTGGGACACACACAGAAAAATTAAAAAGTTAAAGGCTGAATAGTAAACAGCAGTTCAGCTGCATGACTTTACATGCAAAGGCTAAAATTTCACAAATGACTGCTTCTCACTTTTCTGCATTAATCAATGTGGATATATGTACACAATCAATCCCAGCAGCAAGTAATTCAAAACTTATCTGGTACCACCAGTTCCTTTCCCCATAGCTCCTCCCTGAAGGAGATAAAGGCACCAATCCACAGTTTGAACAGGAACTTCCAATTTCCAGCCCAACCTGTTTATTGGGGGGTGTGTGTGTGTGATCAAACCTAAACTCTGTTGTGTCTAAACTTCCCACACTGCACACAAAAGCCCAGTCAGAAAGCAGACACCAGTAATGTATTTCATACCTGTCTTTTCTGGGATTGCTATATGCCTCTTCAATAAGCTCCATTTTGTCCAAATCCTTCCATTTGCCTCTGTCCAAGAACTGCCATCGATATGGCAAATGGAAATGAACTTTATTGCACTTATCTAAAATAAAAATATTAAGAAGTAAGACATCTTGGCAATACATAGCATGACCCAGGCCCATGGTTCTCAATGGGGGTGGTAATGCCCACTGACCTGGGAACATTTTGGAGATCTGTGGGGGCATTATTTTTAGTGCAGTCATACCTGAGCATCTAAATACTGAAATACTGTGTATTTTATTATACGCACTTCTGTTTTACATCTCCCCTTTTAATAGGGCGTTACATCAATTTTTAAAAATACGTATGTTGGCAGGTAACATTACATTTGAATTTCATCTCATGAGCAAAGAAGCTGACCATGAAAAGGTCAATCAGACTGCGGGAGGCAGTGTGATCACCCATTATCACTATACATGTAGCATGTGGACAGGTAGCAGTCACACTAAAAACTGAACCAGATTCATCTCTATTAGAAACCCATCCAAACCCCGACGCATCTGACCACAGGCAGGTCAGCAGTGTGGTTCCAGCCTGCTTTGATCTTCTGGCTGCTAACATACTCACCACCTCGACACATCCCCACATCACCCCTGAAGGTATTTATATACACTGCCCTGCCCCTGCCAAAACATACAAAATGGCCCAGGTCTACAGTTTCAAGCCAGGTGCTCCCCCTACATCTTCCCTGTGCACCCTGGGACCTCTGTCACTCCTAGCACATTCTGCCTGCCTCACCTTGGCTCATGCCAGCCCCTCACCTGCAATGCACCTGACACTTTTGTTACTTTTCAATATCCTATATGAAATTCTGGTACATCCCCACCGAGGAAAGGCACACTGGAAAGAAAAGCAGCAGCAATCTCTTTGCACTCTGATACAGACCTACTTCCAAGGTATATGTTATTAGGTAGAATGATACACAAAAAGGTGCAGAACGCCTCTACTTGAGTAAAAAGGTAGAAAAGAAAAATGAGAAATTCTCTAAATACATATACATACACATATTATTCCTTGCAGAGGGGAAGTTGGTAGCCAGGGACAAAGTTATGAGGAAAGACTTGTGTTGTTTTCTTTTGAAGTTTGAACCACAAGAATATATTCCAAAAAATTAAATGTCTAGTTAAGTGGGAAAAGATACAAAACAGTGTGTACAGTGCAACTACGTGAGAAGCAAACTGATCAGACATATATACTTGTGTACATATAAAATCTTCATGGAAGGATAGTCAAGGAACTGGTAATAATGACTGCTTCTGGAAGGGATCTGGGTGCGAGAAAAAAGAGGTGTGAGGGAGACATTTCTTACTGGCTGTCCTTTGTACATTTTTAACTCATCTGTCAAAATATTAACAATGAGGCATGGCTAATTTGACACTTGAAAAAAATTAAAACTTTCTAAAATTGTATGCAGGCTTTTCAGACATATCTCAATGCCACTTCCTTCCCACAGGATCTACAAAAGTTACCTTGGTCCAGGAGGACCATGGAGGAAGGTGGGCAGGCTGCCTGAAGGTATCAAAGGCTAGGCCTGATGCCAGGCAGACAGGACAGACAAGAGCACCCAGCCAAGACTCAGGGAACAAGAGACACCTCAACCCAGGAAATCCCCTCCAAGTTCACCAAGGCTGGATTCAGCCACTCTGGGGACTCAGGACATCCTGACTTGTCCAGAGTTACAGCGTGGACAGCTCATACCAAGCCAAGAGACCTCTTGGACTCTACCAGGGATATGCACAATACAGTAATAATGAAGGGCTCAACCTGGATAGGTAAGAGCACAGCTATGGTCCAGAGGTCATAACCACATAAGATTTCCTGTTCCCTCCCTGAAGGGCACGAAGGGAATGATCAGAGTTAGGAGCATTCAGTCACTGCACCTATATACCTCGGCTCAGGTGAGTCCTGGACAGCCTGAAGACTCTCTCCTTAAGAAGATCCCCTTCAAGGAAGGCACACCACCTACCACCCTCCAGGCTGACACTTCCTTGGGAAGGACACAGGGGCACAGGGAAGGCTCTGTGGTCAAAAGACTGCAGGCCCAGGCTTCCAACTCTTAATGTGAGCTCAACGTGAAGACCATATCACTCAAGCCTAAGAAAAGAAGGTGCCATACAGGCCACTGCAGCCACAGTGGCTGGTTACAGCGGAGTCCCAGTTGATGAGTCCCCTTCTCTGCCACATCTTCTCTGGTCCTCCTGTCCCCTTTCTCGATTTCCTCTCCCTCCTTCTAACGTTCCCCTCCTTGTTGCGGCATTCTAGAATCTAGGCCTTCTGGAAGGTAAGTCGCAAAAACAAATTAATTTGGCAAAGTACCATATCCATATCCCCTCTCTCCCTACATCACTTGAAATGATAGACCAGAGAGAAGAACAAATTGAAAAATGCTGGAAAAACAGTAATCAGTGCTATCAAAAGACCAGAATTATTGAAGAATCCCTAAGAATATGAAGGACACAGAATCAAACTGAGGGAGATAAAGAGAGAGAAACCCCTGCAAGATATGAAGAGATCTACCATGGAAGGGGGAAATACTGGGGAGAGTGGCCTAAAGAGTTACACGTAATGAAAGGCAAGAAAGACACCTTGCCACTCACAATGAAACTAAATGGGACCCACCAGAGCAGGAACTCCCTCTGTGCATTGCTTGTGCCCAGCAACCTTGCTATTTGTCCCACAGAACAAGTGACTGTGAACGTAAGTGCTGGAGAGAGACAAGCATGTAAGAGGGCCATCAAAGCTCCCACCCCATTCCAAGGATACACACTAGCAGCCCAAGCCACCGCACAAAATGTACTGCCCCTTCCTCATTAAGCCTCGATCAGAATCCACATCACCAGCAGACACTGAATTCTGGAGTAGATAACCACGAGTCACCCCACATGTGAGGGAGACTAACACAGACAGGAAGCTAACTCACACAGAAGAACCAATACCAGGGCACCTGGGTGGCTCAGTCAGTTAAACGTCAGACTTGTGATTTTGGCTCAGGTCAAGGTCTCATGGTTCATGAGATCAAGCCCCACATCAGGCTTTTTGCCGTCACCACAGAGCTTGCTTAAGATTCTCTCTCTGCCCCTCTCCTGCTCATGCTCACTCAGTCTCTCAAAGTAAATAAATAAATAAATATTAAAAAAAACCAATACCCAAGAAATAATTATTAGAGTATATAGATTAATAGCTAGACCTCAATTTGTAAAAGTGAAACCGATAAAACTCGGGGAAAAAAAACATGGCGCCATTTTCAGAGGCTTGGAACAGGCAAAGATTTTTGAGACACAAGAAAACTATAAAACAAAAAAATACTAAAATCCTCACTGATATTAAAACTTTTATTCCTCAAGGGGCGCCTGTGTGGCTGAGTCAGTTAAGTGTTTGACTCTCGATTTCGGCTCGGGTCACGATCTAACCGTCATGGGATCAAGCCCCGTGTCAGACTGTGATGAGTGTGGAATCTGCTTAAAATTCTCTCTCTCTCTCTCTCTCTCTCTCTCTCCCTCCCTCCCCCATCCCTCCCCTGCTCACGTGCTCTCTCCCACCCTCTAAAACAAAAACAAAACAACTTTTATTCCTCAAAAAAAAAACCATAAGGAAAATGAACATTTGTAACTGACAAATCACTAAATTCTACTCCTGAAACCAATATTATGCTGTATGTTAAGTAGTTAGAATTTAAGTAAAATTTTGAAAAAAAGAGAAAAAAAGAAAAAAATGAACATAAAACCACAGACTGGGAGAATTTATTTTCAATACCTACATCTCACAACCACTTGTATAAATAATACACCAAATCCTCACAACCCAATAATGAGAGATCAAACCATCCAATTAAAAAATAGGCAAAACAAGGGGGCACCTGGGTGGCTCAGTCAGTTAAGCATCAGCCCTTGATTTCAGCTCAGGTCAAGATCTCAAGGTTCTTGAGTCTTAACCTTGCACTGGGCTGTGTTGACACTGCAGAGCCAGCCTGGGATTCTGTGTCTCCCTCTCTCTCTGCCCCTTCCCTACTCACGCTTTCTTTCACAATAAATAAGCTTTTTACAAGTCACAAAAGACTATGTATTATATGATTCCATTTACATGAAATAACCAAACAAATCCATAGAGACAGAATGTAAACCTGTAGTTGCCAGGAGCTGGGGTGCAGGAAGTATGGGTACAGGATTTCTTCGAGGATCATGAAATGTCCTAAATATTAACTGTGATGATGGCTGCACAATTCTGTAACTATACTACAAACTATTAAATGGGTAAATTGTATGGTATGTGCATTACACTCAATACCTCAATCAAGCTGTCATAAAAAAAATCAGAAAATTTAAACAGATACTTCATTGAAGATATACAAATGGCCAGTGAGTACATGAACAGAAACATTCAGGGCGCCTGGGTGGCTCAGTCGGTTGAGCAACTGACTTCAGCTCAGGTCATCTCACAGTTTGTGGGTTTGAGCCCCATGTCAGGCTCTGTGCTGAAAGCTCAGAGGCTGGAGCCTGCTTTGGATTCTGAGTCTCCCTCTTCCTCTCTGCCCCACTCCCACTCCACGGTCTCTCTCAAAAATAAAAACATTTAAAAAAAAAACGTTAAAAATCATTATCATCAGGGAAATACAAATTAGAACCACAATGAAATATCACGACTCATTAATTATAATGGCTAAAGTTTAAAAGACTGGCAATACCAAGTGTTAACAAAAACAGAGCATCAAACTCTCATACATTGTTGGTGGGAAGGTATACCCACCAGTGTCTTATAAAATTAAACACACACTTATATACGTTCCGGTAATTTCACATCTAGGTCTTTACTCAAAAGAAGTGAAAACAGGGGTGCCTGGGTGGCTCAGTCAGTTAAGCATCCAATTTCAGCTCAGGTCATGATCTCACAGTTCATGAGTTCGAGCCCTGCATCGGGCTCCGTGCTGTCAGCTCGGAGCCCAGAGCCTGCTTCAGATTCTGTGTCTCCCTCTCTCTCTCTGCCCCTCTCCTGCTCACACTCTGTCTCTCAAAAATAAACATCAAAAATAAAATTTAAGTGAAAACATACACCCACAATAAACTTGCACATAAATATTTATAAAAGTTTTATTTGTAAAAGCCAAAAACTTGCAACACCTCAAACGTTCATCAACATATGAATTGATAAATTGTATTCAATCCATCCAACAGAATACAACTCAGCAATACAAAGGAGCAAACTACTGATTTGCCAGCATGGACAAATCACAAAAACATGCTGAGTGAGAGAAGATAGGTACAGTAGAATACATGCTGTATGATTCCATTTATATGAATTTCTAGAAAGGGCAAATCTACAGTGACAAAATGCAGATCAGAGACTGTGTGAGGTCAGGAAATTGGGGGGTGAGGATTCACTACAACAGGACAAAGGGACCCTTTAGAATAAGGAAACTCTTCCATTACCCCAATTGTTATTACCAAAACTCAGTGTATACTTAAAATTTTTAAATACTTAAAATGTTATTGTGTGTAAATTATATCTCACTAAAATTGACTTTAAACACATACATGCACATATGATACATATTTCTTGAGCTAGCATTCCATTTCCAGGAATCTAGCTATGGAAATACCTATGTGTACTCAGATGCTCAATGGAACGTCACTCTTACTGGACACTACAGTTGTTTTTCAAAATAAGGTAGACGCACACATACCAATGTAGAAAGAAATCTTCAAGACACAATGTTAAGTGAAGGAAGCAGGTTAAATAATACCTATCACATGTTCCCATCTGTTGAAAAACATGCGAAACAAGTATCATAACCACACGGCACGTGTTTACCTTTGGGAAGGGCTGAAGGAGGACTTCAGACTTTACTCTGTATTATTGGACTCTTTCACAAAGTGAAAGTATTCCTGAATTGCTTGGGTGGCTTTTAAAGACTGAAAACAAAACAAGAAGTTTGGTGGTTGTTTTTTAAGAGCAGTCACCGAATTTGAGAAGGAAGCTTTCTTCAGTCAAAACCCAGGACAGCAATAAGAAGAAAACAAAGCTTTAGTAAATACAGACAAACACGTACACACAAGAATTGCTACTTGTGATAAAAGAGGGACCATGGAGAGAAGGGGCACCTGGGTGGCTCAGTCAGTTCAACGTCTGACTCTTGGTTTCGGCTCAGGTCATGATCTCACGGTTCATGAGTTCCAGCCCTGCATCAGGCTCTGCTGACAGTGTGGAGCCTGCTTGGGATCTGTCTCCCTCTCTCTCTGCCCCTTGTTCCCCAGCTTGCTCGCTCTCAAAAAACAAACATTAAAAAAATTTTTTTAATTAAAAAAAAGAGGGACCATGGAGAGAAACCCCCAACTTAAGTTCTTATTCCCCAAGAGCACACACAGGCATCTCCTCCTCAGGGAAGGCCTTCCGGGTTTCTGAAGCATTTCTAAGTCTACAACCTCCCTTTATAAGGGACACTGATATTTGTTTCCACTAGACGGGGCATCTGTGCAGGCCTGTGACCTCCCTCATGCTAAGGTGATCAAGGGTCAACACTTGACACTGAATGAACCAGTTACATTCCCCAAAACTCATCTACAGTCTGATTTCAAGAAACTCAATTCCTACCATCCTCAACTCCCCAAGAAAATCGCTTCAGAACTGGTTTGGCAAAGTGCCACACCAGCTCACCATGAAGAAGGCCCCAACCCTCTCTGGATGGGGGAGAGGGCCCTGAGGGGTGGCCTTAGGGCAGAACTCTTGAAACACATAGCAGCTATTCCACCTGCAAGCGGATGAAGGGGATTCCTCTGACTTACCTTGAAAGCTACAACTTTTCCGGATGTGGTACAAGCAGATCTGATCATTCTCCTCCTGGTTAGCATTGTTTGAGGATACACAACCTGAACTATCTCTTCTTTCTACAAGGAAACACCACAGAGATGTATCAGCATCCACCACAGCTTCCAGTGTGGAGTCAGAGTAGTTCAAGATACAAAGGACAGAAAAGAGCATTCACTTCCCTGCATAAGGCAAAAGTAGGCGAGGTAATCTCACAAAATCCTATGATGTTCAAGATAAAACGACCCTCAGACATACAAGTGGACCCCCTCTCTGCTTTTTAGGGGAGGAGCCAGGGAACCCAAAGCCACACAGTTGCTTGCCAAATCCAGGACACCATGGAGAGGCTCTTTTTTCTCAGCTCTATGCTCCCAATTTTAATATGAAACCTCCTTAATAACTTGACATTAATTGCAAGAATTTTAACTTAAAACAGGCATGGAGGGTATTTCAGAATTTATCTTTACTAGTGCTCCAATGAGACTTTACCTAACAATTACATTTACCACCGCACCCACCTACCATAATACAAGAAAACAAAACTCATTCGCAAACCCTCTCTATTCAGTATCGCCTGTTAATTACGTTACTCCTTTTCCTTTTTCTTTTTATGGGCCCTTCAGACATCCACAGGGTGGGCCTCAAAACCCACACCTTTGGGGCCTTGGAAATAACCTCCCTTGCTCCCCAAGGACAAGTATCCTTCCCTCCCTTTCTAAGGCCATAATCCACTTGACACTCTTAAAAATCTATTTAAAGCAAAACCTGTCTACATCTAGCTTCCTACTATTGAAAGAAATTAACCCAAAATAACGGGAGGAAATGTAAAGAAAACACATATATGGCAAGGACAATTTTTAAATATCAAAATCAAGTGAGATTAGATGTTGGGGTGCCTGAGTGGCTCAGTCAGTTAAGCGTCCAACTTCAGTTCGGGTCATGATCTCACAATTTATGGATTCGAGCCCCACGTGTGCTGACACCTCAGAGCCTGGAGCCTGCTTTGGATTCTGTGACTCCCTCTCTCTCTGCCCCTTCCCTCATGCTCTGTCTCCAAAATAAATAACCATTTAAAAAAAAATTTAAAAGATTAGAGTGTTAAGTGTGTTTGCTGGTAGTCCTAGCAACACCTAGAACTGATATTTTAGGAAGTGGTCTATTAAAAATCCTAGATGCCACTATAGTTAGCAAATTCCTTTATTAAAAAAAAAAAAAGTATACTAGCATGCTCAATCACTCACCAAATGCCTGCATGCCCACTATGGACCAGGCACTGTCTAGGTGCTGAAGACGAGCAGCGAACAAAGAAAATTTACAGGGACTAAAAATCCCATTTATTCATGCCAAGAAGAGAGCTGAAATTAAAATATGCTTCCTTGACGGTAGATCAGACCTGTGGGGAATTCATTCAGTCAACCTCAAATGGCATTTGTCTTGCTTGTTCATGGCTAGGATTCCAAGTCATCTTTACAACACCCACTGATGAAGGAATCACCAACTGACTTTACTAAAAGCAGCAGTGAATTGCCCAAAGTCATACATTCCATTAATGGCCAGCTGGAATCTACAGGCCCCAGCCCAGGGCCTTACCAGAAGTGGCCTGTGGGCCTGGAGGAGGAGGGTGCCCTCTGCTGGAGGTGGAGCTCCTATTCTTGATGTCGTGAGCATTTCTGTATATGGAAGGCAGCCTGTTCACCAGATCGGAGTTCATGCCCAACTTCTCCAGTTTCTCCAGATTCTCAGAATTAGAGATATCATGAGATCTCTTACAGCCAGTGCCAAACTTGCATTCACCCTGTAAAAAATACTGGCAGATATGGAGTTTGATACACTGCTTTTGAAAGGAACAAGAGCCGTAGGGTCCATCTCCTTTGTTGTAATGAAGGCAGATCTGTTGACAGAAAAGGAATAAAACAACCAGCTTAGGAAGGTCTCACAGGACACCACCCCACTACTGACCAGTCCACGGTCAGAAGAAGTTCCTCCAGAGATCTGGCCAAAGCTGTGATTCCGTCATCCACACAAGCCACACAGCTCTGAGAACATCCTCCATTCTAGATGGACCACTGCTAACATATGCCCTTGGATAAAACGGGAACTGGATGGACAGCAATGAGCAGAACAAGCCTTTCCATTGGGAAAATCCAAAGAACTTCCAACTGATCAGAGCTGCTCCCTTCCCAGGAGACAATTCAACATAACTCACATAGCAGGAGGCTAACAACCCATATGCTCCACCTACACCCTTCCCCCACTGACTCACCAACTCTCCCTAAGCCAGGCTTCTATCTCCCTTCTTTCTGAAATTCAAGGTCAAAGAGGCTCTGAGCGTTTAAAGCATCTTAGAGAAGGCCAAATAGAGCCCTTTCGTTTCTCAAGAGCAAAGTGAAACTCAGAGAAGTTCACTGGCTTGCCCTAGTTCACTGTCAGCTATCTACATCTGGCACACGCAATGTCTGTTGAACTGCGTCGTTGGTAAAGCTGGGACTTAAACCTGAATCAACTGCTCCTTCTCTACATTCCAAATTCCTAGAGACCACCAAGGGCCTACCCACTCAATTCATACACTGAGCAAAAGATAGAAAAGCAGCAGAGGGCTGCAGAACCCAGACTTAGATACGCAGGGACCCCACTCGGGACAGAAGCCCCAAGGGAAAAGGCTAGAAGAGGCTGGGCCCTAACCTTGATTTTGCCACTTACAAGACGCCTGACCTTAGACAAGTCACTCACCAGCTCTGAATTTCAGCTTTTAATCCCTAAAATGGGAATAATGCTACCTCCATCCTTGGGCTATTATGAGGATTAAATGGGAAATATACAAAGTGGCCGAGACAATGCCTTGGAACGTAGTGGGTGCTCGATTCATGGTGGTGGCCCCAACTGTTCATCTGATAAGGGGACTAGCCTGAGAGCAGAAGGCCTGGCAGGAAAGCTGCACTGGATCTGAGTTTATGGTCACAGTTCCGGTTGCCGGCACTGTGCTCTAAAAACCACCTGCATACCCCAGAAGACAAGAGGCTACACACTCCAGACTGGTCACCTTCGGATTCATTTTTTTATACCACTGACAAGTTGCTCACTCCAAAACATTAATGTCCACTCTCCAAACACAACCCCCCACCCCAAGTCCTTCCTGTGATACCAAAGGCTGCATGGATCAGTCTCTACTCACCCATTTCTCCTTCTCTCCTCTCCCAACCTAAATCTAAGCTGTGCTCAGCTACGTGCTGTCCCCCGACCGTGCCAGGTTCTGTCCTCTGTGCCCCCCTTCTTCCCAGACCTTCATCCTTCATTCACCCTTCAGCATTCAGAGCAGGCACCGCCTACCCCAGGATGCCTTCCCAAGTGCCCCAACTGCCTGAGGCCAGAGTGCTCACTTCTATCGCAGCACCTAAAATAGCACCTTACAATCACACACTGATTTGTCTGTCTCACCCAGTAAACTTGCCTCCTGGAAGGGCAGAACAGGGTCTTTTATCTCTTTATCGGCAGTGCCTGACCCGTAGTGGTTATTCAATAAAGGTTAGCTGAATCAATAGTAATTTTCAAAAAGGCAAGAGAAAAGTTACTATCTATTACGTAGCAGTCACTAAGCCACAAAGCACCGTTCTCAAATGAGTGGTTTTAACTGAGTAATATGGAAGCATTTTCATTAAACCAGGTCAATCTAATCTCTGTAGCCTTATCCCAGAGAAAGTGCCAGAACATCCCATAAACCTGTGCTAGCCACAGGAACACACCACTTACTCAGCTCAGCTGCTGCCCTCGGGAGCCACTACCTGATTCACACAGAGACCATGCTCCCACGGGCTGCTCCTAGCCAACAATGAGCTACTTTAGCTCAGAACTTCGTAATGGCCAAGCAGCAGCTTTCTTAGAACTGTGCTCCAGTCAGGGTCTCCTCCTGGAGACCCGGCCTCCTTCCTTCCCCCTCTCTTGCAACATCACTGTCCAAAGGCTCCCCACCTCCTTCTGCTCACTCTCCACTAGATCTCTTACACTTCTAATCCCATCTTGGCGTCTGCTTCTTGGAGGGCCCAAGATAGTACACGGCCATTACAAGGAGGTTCGGTTAGCATCTGAAATGCATTACGAGCATCTGAAATGCACATCAACTAAAGGTCAAAATTCCCTGGGTGCAACTGATTTAGTAGAGAGTTCATCACCTGCCTGTCAGCATCTCTGAAAAATTTCCTCACAGAACTCCTGGGTTTGGCAATAACACATGGTTCCAAGTCCTGCTAGACAGAGGAGCAGGCTGGAGTCTCTTATCCCCTCATCCCCATGTAAGGAACATCCTGTTGCAGCCACTGGCCAAACAGACTCCCCCAATCTCATGGAAGCCCTGAAAAGGAGATACCGGCCCAAATGACACAGAAGGAAAGCAGGCCTCTAGACGGGGCAAGGTTGGCCCAAGGTCACAGGTCTAGAAATCAGCAGAGCCAGGAATTCAATCCAGGTCTCCTTCAAGTAGATCCCTGTGGTCACTCTGGGGTCCTTGGCTCCTCTTCTGCCACAAGATTTCCTCTCTCCCGACCTCTGGCTTCTCCCCCATCACTTGCATACATACACACCCCCTCCTGGAACTCACCTCTGGCAAAAGCCAGGGGTCATTCTGAAACAAAAGCTGGCAGAGCTCACTGTAGCTGAGGTGGTCAACACCGTGAGTTCTCAGCACACTCAGGTTGTGATCTGTCGTCAAGCTGTGACTGTTTCTACAGTTCTTCCTGCAAAGAAGTAGAGCTGGTGTCACGGTTCAACTGCGCCTCCCCAAAATTCTTAAGTTGAAGCTCTAACCCCCAGTGACTGTATTTGGAGATAGTTTATAAAGAGGTTGTTGCGCTGGGGGGTGGGGGCCTAGTCCAATCCAACTGATGTCTTTATAAGAAGAGAAAATTAAGATACAGATGCACACTTGTGAGGACACGGGTAAAAGACAGCCATCTGCAAACCAAGGAGAGAGGGCTCAGAAAGAAATCAACCCTGCCAACACTTTGATCTCAGACTTCCTGCCTTGAGAATCGTGAGAAGTTTCTGTTTAAGCCCCAGCCTGTGGCACTTTGTTATGGCAGCCCTAGCAAACTAATAGAGCTAGTAAAATCAGTCTCGAAGATAATTTTTCAGGCATCGTTCTTGACATTGCTTAGGAGCATCAGAAAAAAACCCACATGTCTATGCGATGAAAAAATGTAATGCTTATTCACAAAGGAAAAGGCATTACCTTGCAAGCTCGAGGGCCTAGGACGGCACTTCTCATCAATATCTGGTAAGAATGACAGTGCCATCCCCCAAAGAAGAGTTGCAGTATGACAGACAATGAGCACTTAGCAGACACTTGAACACTGGTTGAATAAATGAGTGTGGACACCTATGGCTATAGGTATGTGCACAGACACACTCACACCCTGAGGCTCAGGCCTCTTCTCTGCTCTCCTCCTCCGTTCTTTCCACTAACAAGCCCTGGCTGAACATTCACTGTGAGCCACATACTGGCACCACGCCCTGATGATCCAAACACTTCAAATGATTTCCCAGGTCACCAGGACCCGGAAGAGTCAGGCAAACATCATTTGCTTTACTCAGACTCTGCCAAACCTCACGTGTTTATTGTGAGCATCTCAAAAGAAAACCCAACCTGTGACTGACTCCCCCAAACCTGCACCTTTCACAAGCTCCCCAGCTCAGTAAAAGACCACTTCCCTCCTTCACTGCACAGACCGACAACCTTGGAGTCATCCAGACTCTTCCCCTTCTCTCCTCTAGCGGAAGTAACAGATATGGAGAGGACTCTAAAATGGCATGGTCAGCTGTGCTGAGAGTACGTCTATGCAGACGGGAAGGGCACCTGAGCCTGACAGAAGCACTCAAGGGGACAGTGCCTAAAAGGTGTAAAGCCTGGGCCAAATATTTAGGTTGAGGAACCAGGCAAGAAGAGGAAAACATTCTAGGCAAACTTGGTGCCGCCAGAACCAAATATAGCTAATAATTAGGATAGTGACGGCAGCAATAGCTACTAAGACTTGAGCATTTATCACAAACCAGGGATTTCCTGAGGTTTTATCAGTTAAGTCATTCAGTCCTCAACAAGTCTATGAGGTAGGTGATATTATCCTCATTTTGCAGATGAGGGAACTGAGACACTGATACAAAGTCACCTGCCCAAGATCGTGCAGCTAGCAGGGAGTGCAGCCAGCTTGAAACAAGGCAGGCTGAGGCTCTGGGCTGATGGCTCAGAGCCTGGTGCCTGTTTCCGATTCTGTGTCTCCCTCTCTCTCTACTCTCCCCTCTGCCCGTTCATCTCCTGTCTCTCTGTCCCAAAAATAAAAAAACGTTGAAAAAAAAAAAAATTAAAAAAAAAAAAAAAAAAAAGGTACTGGGTGGCTAGTCGGGAGTTCATGAACTTAGCCAGGTCCGATCTCGCACGATCAGTGGTTTAGGCCCAGGTGAACTCTGGGCTAGGCTGAACCAGTGCACTGGAGCTGTTTCGATTCTGTGTCAATCTCCCTCTCTCTGCACCCTAGGCCGTTCATGCTCTGTCTCTCTGTCCCAAATAAATAACGTTGAAAAAAAATTAAAAAAAAAAAAAAAACAAGGCAGGCTGGTCTTGGGGCTGTGCTCTTAACCACGATGCTTACTGCTCCTCAGCAAAGGATGAAGTCAGGGACCTGGGACCCTTCCCAGCTGTGACCAGTGGGCAAAAGCAGGAGCCATGATCTATTTCTGAAACAGCGGACCCTGTGGTTCAGGGAGACAAGCAGAGTCCCAAAGAAAGCATAGAAAATGCAGCCAACAGCACCCACTCTCCCTTATGTGACCCGAAAGCAGTTGAAGAAGGAAGGTTCAATTAAGTGTCCTGTGTGAACCGCATGGAAAGTGGAACAGGGGAAGAATTTAAAAGAAAACTCAGAATCATCTAGGCCAACAGATACCAGACTCCCAGATTTCCAAGACAAGTAAAAGGCAACCCCCATCCTTGGGAACTAGCTGAGAAAAGGGCTGCCATCTTTATTTCACCAAATACAGACGTTAACAAGATCCACCAGTTACCCCATCATTAGATCCACCCATCCACCATTTATTACGTCCGCCTTCTTCTCCAGCTACTGCTCCTCCTTCTCCCCTGAAGTGACCCATCCACACCAGTCCCTGAGGGCCCAGTTTGCCCAAGGTTCCACCGTCAGCCTCCACCTCAGACCTGACCCGCTCCTGGGACCCTGGGACCCTGGCCATGCTCTCCCAGGCTGCAGACTTGGAGAGCTGCCCCTGGACACACTTCTGCTCTCTCCGCCAATAAGAAAGCAAAGTAAGAATCATCCCTCAGTCAACAAGGAAAAAAGAGAGGTATGAGTCATCCCTCAGTCAACAATAAGATAACAGCCATCACCTCTCCCCCATCCTGTCCCCACACTCTCACCAACTCCCCATCTCTAATTTCTCACACACACACCCTCCCCTCTTAAGGCCTTAAGCTGGGGGTTGGAATATTCTAATCTAGGTATTTCTCAACAGCTGCTTCCCAGGGGCCACATTTCCCAGCTCCCCGCCTCCCTCGCATCTAGACATGATGGGGGTCATGAGACATCCTGTGGTCCAGGGGACAGATGGAAAACTGTCCACCCCTTCCAGACCTGGGAAAACCTCCCCCCAACCCTCCCCTGTC